AACGAAGCAGAATAAAGCCTATTGATATATCAATTCCAACAACCAGACCCAAGCAATCCCATCCTAACTCACCTGCCAGAACCCACTTTCCAACAATCCTCAATCGCTGTTTCTCGCCCTCAGATGAAGACGATGACTCCCCGGAAGGGCGAGAAATCGAGGAGATGCTTCCGACCATCCCGAGGAAGGGCGGGACGAAGACGAGGAAGACCAAGAAGGGGAAGAAAGGGCGTGGAAAGGCACCGGCAAGACTCGTGGCTCAAGGTGGGTCGTCGCGTCTGTAGTGGGTAGGGTGGGAACTGGGGGGGGGGGAATAGGGAAGGGGAAGAGGGGAAATGGAGGAGGGGGAGGGAAGGATGCAGTGGGAAGATAAGGGGGTTAGAGAGGAGGGAGGAGGGAGAAGAGGAAGAGGAGGGAAAGGAAGAAAGGAGAAGAGGAGAGATGGTTGGAAGAAAAAAAAGAATACTATAAATATGTAAATATGGTATACCAGGAAAGGGGGAGAAGGTAAAAGGGGAAACGATATAGTGAAAAGAGAAAAGGAACGGATGTCGAGGAGTCGGAAAGATGGACCAATGAGATGGGAAGTGAAAAGGGAGAGACCGAGAATAGGTAAGAGGGGCTAATGAGAAAGGACTCGAGAGATGATAAGAGAAGAGGTGAAAAGAGGGATGACAAGAAAAGAAAGTTAAAGAGATAGCTATCCCTGAAAAGATTGAACCATAAATACTTAACTCACACTATAGCCCCTCGAGAATTAATCACTGGCAGAACATTGGAGCAGTTCACATATCCAATCATTAAAATGACAGTAGTTTTTTTAATGAGATGAATTGATTGAATGATAAATATAAAGTGGGAATTAGACTTGGGTAGATGAGGGGAATGCATGATGGTCATTTCCGAGCAATATTCTATTCGGTGACGTCGCGGAACACAGGAGACATTTAAATGCAATCTTTTTATTTTTTTAATAGTTTACCGAAATTTTTTGACCAGATTACCGCGTAGACGACGTAGTGACGTGGGCTTGTGACGAAGGGTTCAGTGCGTTTGGAGACACGAACGCCACCTGCGGCGTGGACGGCACGTGGTCCTCGACGCCCCCGAGATGCAGGAGAATCTTCTGTGGAATCCCCACTCTGCCTGACTATGCCAACGTCAAGGGCGACGACTTCCTATATGGAGCCAACGTCACGTATTCCTGTAGGGAGGGATACGAACTGAATGTAAGTTTTCATTCTTATCATTTCTTTGCTGAGGTCGATGGTCAAAGATAACAGCCAAAAGTGTATATAAATGTAGCATGTCCTTGGAGCAGTGAGTCTTTTCCTACAGGGAGAGAGCGTCCTGACTTGTACTGCCAGTGGCAAGTGGAGCGCCGAAACACCCACCTGCCAGCCGGTGTCCTGCGGGCCACCCACGCTCACGCCGAACACACGAGTCACTTACATTCTTCCCGAACACAACCAGCAACATAGCTTCGGTTCCACAGCCTCCTATTTCTGTCGGGAGGGCTACGAACTTATCGGTATGTTACCTTTTTCAAGAGTAGTTGTTTGGCTACAAGACGCTGCAAAGAAGCATTAGAAACATGTCAGTTTCTGTTCTTCACCGTTATTCCATCACCCTCTCCAGGCGCGCAGTACCAGGTGTGCGAAGTGAACGGCGAGTGGGTGGGAGGCTCCCACACCTGCGTGGAAAGGCTCTGCGAGGAATCCCCGTCGCTGGCTTTCGGCTCCGTTACGAGGGACGACAAAACGCAGCCGCAGAAGGTCTACTTCTCCTGTCTGCCGGGATACAACCTCGTGGGCGACAGCTTCGTGACTTGCAGTCTGGGGAAATGGCAAGATTACAAGTGAGTCTCCATCTCTCTTTTTCTAATGTATATGATATATTAACATCATCTAATGGAAGGTTCAAAATGAACCGCCGTGGTTCTCCATTTCACTGCCCTGTGCCAATCGGAAGAGTTCTACAATTCTTCTGCCACCTTGATGTTATCACTGTGTCTTGTCTTTGGCCTTCCTCTTCCTCTCTTACCATAAATCGCCCCCATAAAAAATCACAACTATTGTCCTTCCTTCTAAGGATGTGACCAATAAATGACAATTTCCTTTCGCTGATGGTTAACAATCTTTCTTTTCTAAAATCCATTCATTAGCTTTCTTCTGAGTCCAGTTAATGAACAGTAGCCGTCGGTAGCACATAAGTTCAAAAGCTCCAATTTTTTGTCAATATTTTTCAAGATTCAACATTCTGGTCCATAGCTATCAGTTCTGAAAACTACTGACTGAAGCAATATCTTTTTCGTTGAATTGGAGATACTTTTATCTTTCCATATATTAGTAAATGCAACCATTGCCATTCTAGCAATGCAAAATCTTCTAATGATTTCTTACGTGTCGCCATAGTTATTACTGCTAAGGGATCTAAGCAGATCCATTTACATTTTCAATCTTTGAATAATTTCTCTTCCGTCGTTATTTTGTATTTTAGC